AACAGCAGCTTTAGCTCCTCTGAGCAACCAACCCTGGTGCAATTCTGTATGAAGTAACCACACAGCTCAGACGGTGTTTGAACCAAATCTTCACTGAAGATTTCTGCTGCTCCCTGACCTCATGCCCACTGCTGGCTCAGGAAATCTCTGTTAAAAAAAAAAAAAGGACTTAGATCAGCTCACTCTTTCCCTTCCTCTTGGTCTAGATAACTCAGTTACCCTCAGTCCCATTCCAGGGTAACAAACTGCTTGACCAGAACTATTCTCACCTCACACTTCTTAGAAACAGGGGGCTCTCACAAAGAAGGTTGTGATGGAAGCCAGGAGGAAAGATAACCATCTTAACCCTCTCTTTGTTCCTGTAGGCATTGCGTGCAATTTCATAGAGCTGCAGGAGATTCAAACACAGAGAGTCAAAGGTCGATGACATAGTCATACTGCCTAGGATGACTTATCTAAAAGGGAAACGAGCTTGGAGAGTCTGTCTCATCAAGTCAGAGACCTAGGGATCTTCCAGGTCTTAAGCTGTTTCCATGGATCGGCATGCTAATAGCCAACAGAGAATACTAGTGAAACTTAATCCTGCCTCTGACTGCCCATCACTGCAACAGCACAAGGAATTGCTATGGGCACCTCCAGTAGAGGTTTATTTAGAGGAAAACATCACTTGTAGAGGCAACATGGGGTTCCATAGGACCCTAGGATTCTTTCTCCACTTGAAGAGCCAGAGACCCCGGGTGAGGGATCAGGGTCCACCCCCAATCCAGCAATCCTTTAAACTAAGTAGCCAAAGACTCTGATGCTCATTGTATAGGCCAGGGAACACAGCTATTTAGGGATGCTGAGAACCCCATCATGTCAGTGCTTTAAGCTGTACTCAACAGTCAGTTGGATGAGGAAATGATAGAACACGTGCATCTGAGGTTACCTGCTTTCCATACTCCAGAGGCACTGTCCTGTCATCTTCTCCATGCAAGATGAGGAGGGGGGAGGACAGGAACTTCACACTATGGAGAGATGGGAGAAAGGCAAGAGTTGTACCTGAGCTCTAAGTTACAGTTTTAGTGAACAAAGTTGGCCCAAAGCATACACAAAAAACTCCTTCCTTCCAAGGAATGACAGCTTCATGTACAAAACAGCTTCCCCCATAGTACCTTTTTTTGCTCTACCTGTTTCCCTTGATTTTATTTGTTCATATAATTGAATTGAATACTTAATCAATTGAATTCACTTCTATGTGATAATACAGAAGATAATACACACTGACATAATGACTTTGTACAATGCTGGACAACTGTATCATTTTCTTTATCTCGTTTTGTAATATCTGAAATATTTTAATTAAAAGTCTAAAAACTAAAATAAAATTCAAAACCCCAAATTACAAAACTACCACAGAACCAAAGAGACCTCTTTGTAGCCACTTAACTTTCACCCATGAAGTAGAGAAGGAAAACGCAGTAGCAGGCGGGACCAGCTGCCTGCTCAGTCTAGCTTACGATGCAAAAGGTCACCAGCATGCAGAAAGATTGTCTTCCACTCCAGTGACTTTCTCAGATGATGCTTCTCTGACATTCCAAGTTCTCTTGCCTACCCGTTCCTGCCAGTCACTCAAGGTTACTGCTCAGAATGCTATTCTCTCAAGTGTGTTGAAACAGGAAAAACATATACATTTTAACAGCTCCATACTTGGAAGTATTCCTAAATTCCTTACCAGTGAGAGGCTAACTTCTCAGTTTCTAGCCATTGATCTGCCCTTAGGTTAGCTGGCTCGACATTAAATGGGTTTGGGCTACATGAGGAATAAGCCCTGGAAGTCAGGAGTCCCCCTAAGGAGTGTTAAACTAGTCCTTAGAGGCCATTTAGAAAGTCCAATGTGCTATAAAGACATCATTACGACTGCAGAAAGTTCTGGATTGGTGAAAACATCAACTCAGATATAAGGAAAACAGTAGATATTAAAATGTATAGAAACCGGGGCTGGAGAGATGGCTCAGCGGTTAAGAGCTCTGACTGCTCTTGCAGAGGACTCAGGTTCGATTCCCAGCAACCACGTGGCAGCTAAAAACCATCTATAACTCCAGCTCCAGAGAATCTGAAGCCTTCTTCTGACCTCCTCAGGCACTGCATGACACAAGTGCACATACACACATGCCAGAACACATACACAAAAATCTTTGAAACTTTATTTAAATGTGTAGAAACCCCTTTCTCCAAATGCTAGTGTCCATCTAAGAATACTAGAATGAGAGCCACAGAAAAGTCAGGACAACACTCAGTGTGCTTATCTAGTGAGTCATGATGGTTGCCCGGGAATCTGAGAGCAACAGTGAATCTGTCCATGAGAGCAAGTCATGGTGGTTACCTCGAGAACCATAGAGCAACAGCGACTTTGTTTTCATTGTTAGCTTACTTTTCGTCACTAGCAAAGACTATTTTTTCTTCTTTAAGGGCATCCATAAGCGTGCGTAAACATCTTGGAAACTTCTGGCAAATCTATTTTTCAAAAGGAAAAGTTGAAGATGTTAATACTTGCCTCATAGCTGTCCAACATGCACCACTGCAGTCTCACAGAAAACAATTCAAGCACAGGTACGCCAGGGAGAGCTACAGAATACCATGTCTTAAAAAAAAATGGCTTATAGCCTCATACCTGAACTGTGTGAACAGAGAACAGTGAGCTCCTAAATATTATGATTGTTTTAATATTTTTTTCTAATCTTCAAGTAGCCAGTTTCTTGGCTAAAAGTCTTTGGGTCTCTTAGCAACATACTCCATTCCAAAGGCCAAAAATGTCTAAAGTATTTGGGAGTTTTTATCTAATCCCTAAATGATTTTAGGGTTACCTCTTCGGGGAGAGGGAATGTTAAGAGTAGCAAAAAGCCCCATTAAAAAAAAAAAAGAAAGAGTACATGAAGTTATCAGAAAAAAAAGTGATGGGGAGCTATGGGAGGAGTTGGAGGGGAGGGAGTGGGCATGGATTTGATCAAAACACCTTACATGCATGTATGAAATTCTCAATAAATTAAAAAAAAATTCCAGTCTTCTGGAAGGGAATTCAGGACCTTCACAGGAATTTATTTAGAAAACTGGCACAGAACAGGGAGGCCAGCACCAGTAGGTACAGACTCCTGCTCTGCACTTAGGGCTCGGGCCCGCTGTTTCAGGAGCCTCCTGGGTGCTCAGGATCTGCCTGGTCTGTACTTTTGCCAGGACTCACAGAGAAAAATCTGCAGTCAGGTGTGGGCCGGACATCTAACTCTCTCTGCCTTCTTCCTATGTTTCACGCTAAGAATGAGGTGGCTGGGTTTCTCTTTTCTTTGTCCCCTGATTTCCCACATCCTGGAGTCAGGATCACGGGAGGGAAATTCAGTAAGAGAAGCCCTTCAGCAATTCATCTCAGATTCTGAAGGAGTGAGAAGAAAGCAGACTCAAGTCTGTCTTTCCCATCATTCTTCACTCCCTGCCAGTAGGGAGCCCTTGGAGCCCCAAAGGTCATGCCACACCCCCAGCCCAGACTACAACAGCACGCTCTTAATTGGTCTTCCTACCCTCTCTTTTTTCTGTAATGCCACCAGGAAAATATTCCTAAAACACCAGTTACAGGAAAGCTGCTGTTGCAAACCCTTTGGAATGCCATCGTGTGCACTAAAACACCAACTCTTAGCTTAAGCTCCACATCTATTCCAGAGGCTGCACACTGTCACCTGCCTGGCTGACCTTACAAGATGCATGAGGTTCTTAGGCTGGCCTCTAGCACTTGCTTTCTCTCACCTGTGAGTGCAGAGAAGGACACCACACCCACAGAGACACTGAGAGGATGTAAGGGGCTGAGTGTGAAGGAACGATCAAAGCCCTAATCAGACTCCCGGTTCCAGCTTCTGCCCCGGCTCACACCCCATGCTCCTGTTTCCTCACTGCTTTCCCTTGGCTTCCAGAGTTAAATCCTGTGTTTCTGTAATCTCTTCATTAAGCCTTTCATTGACCACACTTGAGCACAAGCCCACTCTTCTCAATTCTCCCTGCCCTGAAGTTACTGGGTCCTGGGTCTTCCCCTAGCACAGCTCTTAGCCACAGAATGAGTGGGAGATGGCAAGAGCATTTACTGAGATCCTACTGGCAGCTGGAGACTTGGAATGCACTGTTACTTAATTTGTTTTTGGTAACAATCCTGTGCATTAGGCATTATCAACCACATTATTTTGTTAATGGGAAAACTCTGAGAAAGGAACAACTTGGTGGGGGCGCATCATGCAGAGCTGGTGGCAGAGGCCACCAATCTGTCTGGTTCCATAGCACACACTCCTCACGTAATCCTGAGTGACAAGACTGACTCCCAAGGGAAATCTCTATGGTCACCTATAGCCACACCATGTCCTCTCTTCTACCAAACAGAGTCTGAGGTCAGGACCTGTGCCTCCCTCCCCCTCCACATGTACCACGTCACTCTCCATCTCTTATTTAGTGGTAATGATCATTTAATGGCACCCCATGAGAATAGAAACAACAGAACCTGAGTGCTTATTATGCCAGGCACAACTGTAGCTGCTTTTTGTATATATGTCTAGTCATTTGTTTAATGGTCACAATTATTTTGACTATGCTTTTCTTACTCCAGTGTATAAATGCAGACACCAGAGCATTAAAAACAACTAGCCCCCAAATCACCCAGCTGTCAGTGACAGTTCAGAAAAATCAAAACCTGGGCAGTGGGATCCCAGAGCCAGGGTTCTTAAGAACTACATAATACTGTAGGACAGTACACCTGGACCAGGGAGTGCTTATTAAAACTCAGATGGCTCCTGATTTACAATTTTAGTTTTAATTTAACATTGTACCTTGCTGCAAAAGTGATATCCATTGAGCAGAAACAGTAAGTGCTTTGAATTTTTATCTTTCCCTGGGCCAACAACATGCTGGATGATCCTGGCTGAGACACTGGGTTGCAGCAGCAAGCCACAGCACCCAGTCAGCCTCAGGAACACCAACAATCCAGACTCTACAGTGAGCTGTGCTGCTAAGCTACCATACTGGCAGGCTAGGTGTATTCATGCATCTTTGACTTAATGATATTTCCATGTTGTTGGGGACCCCTGTTGTGTAAAAGTAGAAGTCCCTCCATGTCCGGATAGCCCACGGGCTCAGTTTTAAATGCAGGGACTCCTTTTGTCAACAGAGTGCTTTTCTAGCATCTCCCTGACTCATCTTTTGAAGTGACCACCACAGATGCCCTACCATAAACATGGCCTCTGGCTCTGGAAATGCCATGCTTTCCTGTGTGATTTTTTCTGGCAGTCTGGCAACCTGGCAGGAGCCCACTTCCATATGCAAATAGGTTATTTCACAAAGTACCTATCAGCTAAAGCTTTTACCACTACCCCCATGGTATAAAGTTTCCTGATTCCCCTCAATAAATGGAGCTGGATAGCTAGGAGCTGGATAGCTAGGAGCTGGAGCGGGGATCACTGAGACTTGGAGAATAAAAGAGCTGTACCACTGAATCTGACTGAACTGAGTCCTGTGCCTCCTGCCTGCGATCCAGTCTCCCCAGGGGGCAATATCCTTCCATCATCGACTCACGGACACCTAGCTTTAGCCGCCCCCGCACTTTCCCGCGTGATCCAGCAGCCGGTGGATTTCACATCTTGAAGAAAGTGCAGGGGTGAAATTAGGGCAGGACCCGGCCGGGCAAAGCCCTGAGCAGCAGAGACTTTCAGCACTCAAGCGGCGGACAGCGACACTGTGCGCGGCGGAGAAGCCCGCGGAACCCCGTGCCGCGACCTTTCTAGGGTGCGCGCAGGAGCCCCGAGAGCCCAGCACGCACCCCCATACCATGTGACAATGAATTTATCGGGATATAACCCCATTGTATGTCAACAAACATCTGTAAGGTTTATGAAATTTTAAACCAAATTAAACATTTACAAATTTAGAGAAGCTAGGTGTGGTAGCACACCTATAGTCCCAGCTACTTGGGAAGCTGAGGAAGGAGGATCATTTGCATCTAGCAGTTCTAGGCTATAGTGAGCAACAAGGATTAGGTGTCTTCACTAAGTGTGGCATCAATATGGTGCTCTCTGAGGAGTGATAGACCACCAGGTTCCCTAAAGAGGGGAGAACCGGCCCAGGTCAGAAACAGAGCAGGTCAAAACTGCTGTACTGATCAGTAGTGGAATCATTCCTGTGAATAGCCACGAATCCTGTCTCTAAAACTAGAGGATGAAATAGAGCCAGAAAGATGGCTCCACTGGTTGCTTTTTCAGAGGACCCTAGTTCAGTTCCCAGCACCCACATGGCAGGTAACACCCATCCATAACTCCAGTTCCAGGGGAACCCAACTGATAGGATTCAGATCATCCCCAATCCTATAACATAAGAGGCTGGAATGATAGGGTTCAGATCCAGGTGACCCTAGACCCAGAAACCATAAGGCCCCTAAGAGGAACTGAGTCAATCAACTCCCAGCCACCTGCAAGTTAACAAAAGCAGCTCCGAGAAATTAAAGACCAATGTATTGAGATCACCAGAGCATGCTCCACAGGCTGACAAACAGGCTTCCCAAGCCCTTAGTTGCAGTTAGTTCTTGGAACCCTGTAATTATAGAAAACATGTTTTACAGTAGATGTTTTCCTCGATAAGTTTCACCAGGTACAGACCCCACGCCCTCCCTGAGCAACCAGCCCCAAAACAGTGCCAAACAGGAGAAAAAAACTCTTTTTCCACACTCTGTCCCTTTATAAGCTACCCCTCTGCAGCCATTAGGCTGCTGGCTCTTCCTCACGCCCAAGTTAATGACCAGCCCTGCCAAACCCAATTAAACTCTCACTTTGCCAGAGTCCTCTTTGTTTCTGTTTCATGGCAATCCTGACCCTTTTAATCTAATATATGGTGCCATGACTCAGATCACCTATTTGGGTATGGATGTGAGGACTCTGGCCAGACCAACTGCCAGATACTGGCTCCTGCACTCACCATCGATTTGGCCATTAGGTACTCCCCTTCTCTCATTCTCTCTCACTCTCTCTTTCTTTCACAGTCCCCTTCCTCCACCCTCTGCTGCCACCCTCCCTCTCCCTGCCATTTGGCACTTTCCTTTTCATCATGACCATCAGTCACTCCCAAACTTAAAGCTTTGGCCACTGGGCAGCACAGGCTTCCATGAGTGTTGAGTGTCCTGCACAGTTGCTGTGTCTGCCTAAGCCCACCTGGTGGATTGACCCATCCATCCAACACTCTCAAATCTTTTCCTGACCTCCTTTCTCTCACCCCTCTTCCCTCTCTCTCCACATCTCTCTCCCTCTCCCCTCTCTCTCTCCCCTCTCCCCCCTCTACCCCCTTCTCTCCTTCTTCTTCCCCGTGCCATACAGTCATTGGATCTCCTGTTCCTCATTAAATCATGCCGGCAAGTGAGATCCCACGTTTTCCCCTCCCTAGTCGTGGGACACTGCCTAGGGACTTTGGGACAGTCTCATTTTTGGGACCTACTCCACGGAGGA